TTACGTGGCATAGCCCAAAATCAACATATTGCATTCATCGATCAGTCATCACACTTCATGCATTTCTCAAACCAATACTGCATAAATGATCATCATACTTCATAAAAACAAATCTCATGCACATCAAGAGTCGTGAGTGGTGTTCACCCTCATTTTCGAAGACCAGTACTTGTCTGGAAAAGTTGAAACTCTTTCAGAATTCGATGCTTGTTCAAAATTTGTCAGATTTTAAGTCCAGCTCTCGTCTGGCAGCTTAATCTTTTTCACTAGTTCATGTCTGGTAGTCAAATGTTAAAGTCCAGTTCTCGTCTGAAAAATCATTTTGAAAACCGGTTCCAGTCTGGTAACCTACTTTAAAGTCAAATCATGTCTGACAGTTAAATCAAAATCAATTCCCATTTGGCAACCTAATCTCTTTCACTAGTTCTCGTCTGGTAACATATTTGAAAGTCAGTTCCTGTTTGACAGTAAACCAAAAACCAATTCTTGACTAGTATACAAATTCTCAAGTAAGTTCTCGTCTGACATTAAACAAACAAAAAAACAAGTTCTCGTCTAGAATACAAATTTCCAAGTTAGATCTCGTTTGACATTTAATCAAAAACCAGTTCTCGTCTAATAGACTATTGTAAGTCAATTCCTTATGACAGTTAAATTTCAAAGTCAGTTCCAGTCTGACAAGCAAACCAAAATTGATTCTCGTCAGGTAGTCATATTTCAAAGTCAGTTCCCGTCTGACAATAAGCCAAAACCAGTTCCCGTCTGATAATCGTATTCCAAAGTCGATTTCCGTCTGACAAACCAAAAACAACACCAATTCCCATCTGACGACTTAACCTCTTTCCCTAATTCCTATCTGGTAACATATTTGAAAGTCAGATCCCGTCTGACAGTAAATCAAAACCAATTCTCGTATGGCAATCTCCATTTTAAAAAACCAGTTCTCATCTGGTAATTAAACTCCAAAGTCAGTTCCCTTCTGACAGTAAATGAAAAAAACTAGTTCTCATCAAGTAGACTATCTCAAAGTCAATTCCTGTCTGACAAACAAAAAAATAAAGCACCAACCCCCGTTTGGTAATTTATCTATCAATCCAATTCTCGTCTGGTCGTTCACCTTCAAAGTCTAATTTTTATTGGCATCTCCAAAATCAAAGCCAAATTTGCATTGGCATTTTCAATATCAAAGTCCAATCTTCCATTGACAACTAAAGAAATTAAGCCCCACAACAATCCAATCATTCATTTGCATTTCCACATGCATTAATCATGACATTTCCTGCATGGGTAGTATTTTCGCTGAGGTGGAGCATTACACCGTCATACATGCATACATAACATAAGTCAGAATTCGGGATCAATCGTAAGAGTTTAGGTCAACCCTTAGCCAAGTCATTGGTATTTCTTTGAGTGAGTTCCTACCCTGGTCAACCCACTTTATTTTGTTTTGTCTAAAATAAAGTTTCGATTTTACACAAACCGATTGAATCAATTTATTAATCGCACGTAAAATCAATGAACAGTTTTTTTTAGGTTTTGGCTTGTAAATGTTTGTTTTATTGGTCTACATTACGCATAGTTTAATCAGGTATGCTCATTTTATATTTTTGCATCTTCCTACAGTCGCATTTTGATTAGTCTGAGCCTTTTTACATCTGGGTATTTTTAATTCACAACTTTCTTTTTTACTGAACTTTATTTCGCGTAGATTATTTTAATGCGTTCATTTTATTTTTTCGCACACTTCCGCGCTCAATTTTTATTCGCTTTAACTCCTAGTATGATACATAGTGAAGCTGAGTATTCTGTGTTTTTTTGTCACTCAGTCCAATGGTGTATTTATCTTATTGTGCATGTAGATGATATTGTCATAATTGGTAGTGATCAGCTGAAAATACTCTAGTTGAAACATCTCTCGAATCAATTTCAGACTAAAGACCTCGGTAAACTCCGTTATTTTTGGATATTGAGATAACCCAATCTAAAGATGGTTTGGTGATTTCTCAGCAGAAACATGTTAAGGATATTTTGGAAGAAATAGGTTTGTTGAACGCTAAGCTAGTTGATACTCTTGTAGATCCAAGTTTCAAACTCTTATCCAATTAGGGAGAGTCTCTATCTGACTCGAAAAGGTATATGAGATTGGTTGGAAAGTTGAATTATCTCATTGTCGCTTGTCCGAACATTTCTTTTGAAGTTAATATGGTAAGTCAGTTCTTAAATTCTCTTTGACATGAACACATGGATCTTGTTATCTGAATTCTGAGATACATCAAATGTGCTTCAGAAAAAGGTCTCATGTATGAAGATAAAGAACATACTCAGATAGTTGGATACTCTAATGTTATTAGGGTAGGGTCACTCGTTAATAGGCGATTCACCTCTGGGTATTGTGTACTTGTTGGAGGAACCTTATGTCCTGAAAAAGTAAGAAATAAAATATAGTTGCAAGATCAAGCGTCGAGTCAGAGTATATGGTCATGACAATGGCAACATGTGAACTCATTTGATTAAAGTAGTTACTCAAGGAACTTCAAATTGAAGAAGCAAGACCAATGACACTTATTTGTGATAATCAGGTTATGCATTGTACATTGCTTTAAATCCAGTCTTCCATGAGAGGATCAAGCATATTGAGATAGACTGTCAACTTTTAGAGAGAAGATTGAATCGGGCGACATCGTCACAAGCTTTGTTAATGATCAATTGGCATATGTGTTTACAAAATTTCTGCGAAGTCGCATAACTAATTATATATGTGACAAACTTGGTGCATTTGACTTATATGCTCAAGCTTGAGGGGGAGTGTTAATATTTGTATATTGTTAAGGATATTTGTATGAAGAAAGAACCACATCAACTATAGCATGTAATTAGTTGTAAATCTCTCTATATACAATACAATCTCCATAATGCTTTTTAGACGCACGGTTTATTCAAATGTCTCTCATTCTCTCTTATTTTATCAAGGTATAATAACAAATTTTACTTGAAAATGCAGTTTAGTATCTTTTACATTACCTCTTTCACTTGATCATAGCTAGCTAGCTCAGCAGCATTAATGATAGCATTTCTTGAGACATTGGGGCCAATGCCAGTCCAAAATGCTCTGACTCCCTCCTGTTTGTTTGATAGCGATTAAACCAGGCTAGTTTGGAACATAAAAAAGGACTAAAATCATCTTTATCTTTCACAAATCATATAACGTCAAAGGAAAAAAAACCTGTTTCACAATTGTTGAATAAGCATTCCATGATCCAACGTAGCACCTTGGCACACCAGGAGGCAATTTTCCTTCTGCTTGAAGTCTAACTTTCATAAGATCGGTAGGATTCGCCACTACAATTACTACAGCACCTGTTGATAGTGAAAAATTCAAGGGGTTTCAGTGTCATGATTATGCACTATGTATCAAAAGCTTTAGAAGGAATATAATTGGATTTACCAGTTGTTAATGCAGCAAGAATTTTTTTTCGCCAATGGAGCATCTGCAACATGGTCTTTCCCAACATACAAATTCTTAACCTGATAAAGTCCCAAATAATTCAAACAATTAGATTGCATACGCTAAAAAGTAGATATATGAAATCAGATTGATACACAGTCAATACTCACAGGCTCATATAACCAAATTCTTAAACCTCCATACAAACATTGACAGTGTAATGTAACCCTGGCACAATCCCCTTCCAGAGTGCTGAAAGACCTTCTTCTCTGACAATGGTTCCAACTGTTCCTAGCATTCCCTTATATTTAGGTAAAGTTTACCTGTCACCGGCTACAGCTTGCTTTTGAAGCTGAAGCCTAACTTAGCTATACATTTCCTATGCGACTATACATTTGAAATCACACTGACTTTGACGAAATCATGAAACTGTAATTCTGTTGAAGCTCCGAATTTTCGTTTTATCAAAATCACCGTGCTTCCGCCAAACTCACCGTCAATCCAAACACGCGCTAAGACTCACCACTAGCAATTGGATAGGCTCAAGCACATACTGAGCCAACCTTCATGAAAATCTTATATGCACACCAACTCATATTCAGCTTAATTCTGACCAAGCAAAAGGGTAACAATCAAAGTAAAAAAATTGACCCCAAATATATTTTTTTACTAAATATTTTAATTTTTAAGAATATCACAATTAACTTATTATGTTTTGGTGTTATTGTTTAATTAAAATAGTAAATGAATAGAAATTTCAAAACATCATTTCTAGATTTCATTTCTGTTTATTATTCATATCATTTTTAAGCTCACTGGACCTAGTTGGGATGGGTTATCAGACTTACAAGACTAGTGATGGTTATATAATTTATATTTAGATAGCAAATCGACCAATAAACCACTCGTAAACTGTCACGAGACTCAGTTGAACCACGTCAAGAACAAGCATCAGGAACCACATTTGCAGGCAGCATGGTCAAAGAATCAACTGAACTAGCAAGAATTATCATTTTCATATGCAGTGCTACTCAACAATCATAAGTTACATTTCTAGAACATTGATATCAGGAGGTTCTAATACAGAGACTCAAGCTCGCCTGATCTTTGAACTGGAAGAACCAGAGAATCAAAAAGTTTCAAAACTGATATCTCATGTTGCACCACGTTCCTATCAGTGGTCAGTCATTGATATACAAGAATTTACATTTGCCAAAAATAATCAAAATAATAAGTAGAGAGGTTTCAGTATCTACATAGGCATTTACACCTACATTTATCCTAGTATTCCTACTACTACAGCAAAGAAAGAATCTTCTAAACATTCTTTACAGCAAAACTTCGGATTGGAGGTGACAGACAAACCAACTGCATGTTGATAGAGCAGGATAAGTTGCCCCTCTGCAAGCATCAATAAAAAATGGTGGGTCACCCTAATGCAAGACTGTGGAAACTGCTGTCACGCAGCACCAATAAGCCCTAGATATTTTAGAGTAAGGAAGTCACGCATACCTTCGGGCTTTGCTTATTACAATCATGGAGCAACAACCCGTAACTACTTGTAATCAATTCGACCTTCTTTCCTACCATGCAAGTAATGAGGAATTTTTTCTTCTTGGGTCATATTTTGTTTTTCTTGATGATCATTTCTAGTCACAATTCTTATAGGGTGTGCCTCGGTGTTGAAAACCCATTCATCAAGAGAGATAACTGAAGGTGGTGAAAACAAAAGATAGAGGTACTTGAGAGTTTCTGCGAGGAAGAAGCTCTGCATCATATTATCTTTGTCACCTGTATTCACCTGGGTATTCAACCAAGGGTTAGTTATGTTCCTTGGTGCACAGGTTAGAAAAAGAAAACCATAATCTTCTATAAAGCATATATGAAAATCTTCCTCGTAAAGAAAGAAAAAAGAATCGGTGAACCAAGTCTGTTCTCAATAGAACAAACATCACTTAATCATCTCATGCAACCAATTTCTGCATGATTTTCCTCTCGGACATAATTAGCACATTTTGGCAACACCGTTTTACATGCCAAACAAGCTTGCAACAAAACATGAATAAGAAATAAAAACATTTTGGAGAAAAAGTGAAGGGCTTTAAGAATTTCTTACATCTTTGAGTCCAACGTATCCTGCCTCAGTGCGAGAGTTGTTTTCAAATGCTTGGAAAATATTCCAACCCCATTCTTGGTATGTTTTGTTTCTAGTGAAACGCCAGAGGTAGAACAGCGACTCAATTGTTTCAGGTCTTTGGATATTCCATGAGGTGCCAACATTCATATCCTACAAATATCTTTAGCTTAGCACATAACATCTAAGGGGATTTGAAGAACAACGTAAGAATGAAAGATCCAAACCTCTCCACTGCGAAAGTAATAGTTCTCCCCAGCTAATTTAGTTGGCGAAGACTCGTAAAAATTGTAGCAGGTCCATGCAAGCTGCACAATTAGATGCAACAGAATTTAGTAGAGGTTTCAAAGAAAAATGGCAATCAGAACCAACAAATTTCTGGCACAAATCAGCACTTGTCACAAAAAACTATTCTTCCTTAGTAAAAACTAACTAACAACTGTTCAATTAAATCTAAAACCTCAAATGATTTGCAGTATGGCCAGACAAAAAAGTTACAGTCTAGCTTCTGGATGCAATCTATTCTTTATTTTGTTTTGAAATCCGAATGATGGTTCCAATTGGGTAAAAAGCAAGAGTAATGTGGGATAAATTAGCACTCAAAAAACTTCTAGCACAAATTAACATTTGTCACTAAAAAAATTCTTCCTTGGAAAAAGTTAACTGATAAATGTTCAATTATATCTAGACTTTGGATGCTTTGTAGTATGTTCAGATTGAGAAGTTAGGATCTGGCTTTTCAATGCAATCTAGTTCTTCATTCTGTTTGGAAATCCAAATGATGGTCCCAATGTTTTAAGAGAATTGATCATTTGGAATTCTTCAACAATAATGCTAGGTCACTTGGAAAAACTCAGGAGTTACAGCACCTTTCAGGAGGCATTCTCTCTTCCAAAAGCTTCTTATTTATGTATATGCATATTTTACTCTTTTCTTTCCCGTGTACAAAAAGATTACCACGGCATGAACAATTTGAACTGCTTGAAGCTTTGTAGACAAATTGAGTGATGACGAATTTCACAAATACTTCTTAAGTATTACCTCCTCTGCGAGAGACATGATTTTTCCTCCTTCTCCAGGGCCATAGCCAGAAGATCCCAGAGCCAGCATTCCAGGAACAAAACATGCTAATTCATCCATCTGAAAAAGTGATAAAAAGATCAAACAATTTTTTTCAGAACATGTCAATCTAAATTAGATAAATGTCCATTCCAAATAACACCTTGTCCATGAGTGCATTTCCAAGCTTTTCAGATATATACACAAAAGATGATGGTGTTGACTTCTTAATCAAGCTTTGCAGACCTTTCATTGATGTCTCCCACATTTCCCTGGATAGGCATTTTCTCGCACATTTAAATATACGAGGATCCAAAAGTAGGCTTATTTTCTAAGTTGAAATTTCTACAACAGAATAAAGGACCAAAAAAAGGCGGGCCAGATGATTGTGGCATATTTGGACTAAACAGATAATACATGTAATGAGTATAACAGACAGTGAAGAAATATTAGTCAAATGTCGGGTGTTTTGTAGAGTATACGGTGGAGAGCTCAGAAAATAGAAGAATTAAATTCTGATAATTATTAAAATAGTTGCAAATTCACAACTTTGGGTGCGGGCCCTAAATACTTTGGCTTCTTCCATAAATTTATGGCAAAAAAATATGTTACGGTGCATTAGTAAGAGACCGAATCAGATGCATTAGTGAGAGGCAGGATAGCTGGATCAAAAACTTTTTACCATGAAAAAACAACAAAATATGCAATTTTCAAAGGACAGTAGACATTTCAAGTTTGTTACCTGTAAAACTGTACCGTTTCAGTCTTGTTTCCTTGTATCCATGCCTTGAGCAGATACTCGTAGAAGCTGCAACACAGTCATCGGCATCCTATTAATTATGTGAAGAATGAAGTGGCTAGAATCTAGCAAAGCTAGTTTACATTTACTTTCAACATATTGTCGCACTGTTAGTACCATTCAACAGAAGACAATAATTAGTTGAGTTGAATAATCAATTATGTTATTCGTTGGCCATCTTTTTCCTAAGAAAAATGTGCATTCATGGAAAGTTTCAACACATGCATGCATGGAAACATCTCTGTTCACAGAAGAATCATCATCACTAAAGTGCACGTCAACCTATTAAAGAACACCGTGAACCTTTGCAAATGCTAAACACCAAAACAACTCCAGTTTATTCCATATTAATCATAATGTACAAATGTGGGCAACTGACTTAAATAATGAAGTTCTATATCAAATTCAGTTTATAATCACACTGTTCCATTCATCATAGATGGTTGACAACCCATCTCAATCTTAAAAATTCCATAAGGCTTGTTATTAAGTTAAACCAAATATAGCTTAAAGTTGCAGCTAAATTTTCATTGGAGACATAGCTAACAACCTTAACCAAATTGGCCAACAACTGTAAGATAAGGTCATGAAATGAGAATAATATAAGATGTTATCAGTTTTATCACCTATCACCCATAGCACCAAACGTAATTGCTCCAGCTGATTTAGTTCCAGTTAGTGGATTAAGATATATGGGAAGCAACCCATCCTCAGGAAAACTTCTACGAAGCTCTTTGATGACCTTCTCAGCCTGAAATATCAGAAGGCAAATACCTCAAAATTGACATAAGGAATAAAGTTTGACACTCTTTCACAGTCACAACATCCTCAAAATCAGTAGACATGGGGTGAGAAAAACTCAAAAACAATAGTGTGTGGGCTCAGTTCACCTCAAAATAAGAGATTCACAATGTTGAAACTAATGATTACCAAAAGTATATAAATATTCTTGAAACCCATAAAAAACGGCAAAAGATTACCGTTTCCTGGTACTTGGGGTCGTTTGTCCTTTGAGAGAGGGCGATAAATTCAAGCTGCTCTGAACCAGAATCTGCAAGAATACTGTTCCCCTAGTATCGTAGAACAAAATATTCAGAACATAAAACACACAACAGCTAAGAAAATATTCCTAGTTTCCTTATACACTATTCCTGCAATGCATTTCGAATAATAAACAGATGCAAATAGTTATTGTCAAAAAAAATATGTGAATAGTTGAAAATAAGGTTCATTAATTTTGTTGAGTTAAATAAAAATCAGATAAATTTGTGCAAGAAAACATAGAAAATAGACAGGCTACAAACTCAACAGAAATAGCGAATGTTAAGTTAATATTATTACTATAGTAGGCACTTCGGTATTATCAACTAATGTATGGAGTTTCACATTGCTGGACAGTTTTCGGTATCTGATTGCTCATCACACTGCGGATGATATGGTCCAGTATTCTCCAGTGGTATTTAATGAAGCTTCCGGTACATAACAAGATTTGGATTGTTTCTTTTTATTTTTGTTGATGGTTAGCCTTACTTGCATGTTTTTAGCTTCTGTTCGTGTTGATTGAGTATGATGATTCTGCCATGAATGATTAAACATTGGTATATCTTGCTTATGTCTTGAGTGGTTCAGTCTAATGGTGGTTAAACTTGGTGCCTTAATTGGCTTTATTGTTGGCTTATGTCTAAGGGTGGTTAAGTGTGTTGTAGCTTCATCCAAGGGTTTGAGTTGTAGCTTCTTCTTGATGATTAAGCCTTTGAATTGTGGCTTCTGCTTGATGGTTAAGTTTTTGCCTTATGTCTTTGAGTTTAGTCAATGTATTTCCGGCATCTTTCATTGTATGTTTTTTTTTCTTCTTTTGATTTGACGTACCTTTGTTTTGCTCATCCCAAGCCTTAAGTGTTGTAAACACCTTCCAACTTGCGGGAGGGTATTAGAGATATTAGTAATTGATACCATGTTAAAAAATGTGGTTGGGCCTAACTCAACCCTACAAAACCGGTTGGTAAGGTGAGGATTGCCCCCACTTATAAACACATGTTCATGCCATATATTGTCCGATGTGGAAATCTTAACAAGTATGTATATCTTGCTAATTACTATTCTAGAATTAAGGGGGGAAATGTCCAACAACCACCGGATAAGGAAATAACTCCTATTCTAGAATCAATACAATTGTACAAATAAAGGAAATAAATAAACTGTAAAAGTTTTTGGAAGAAAAATCATGTTATGCAGCACATCTCCTAGTAATCAATAAATAAAAGCAGCCTTCTTATATTTTTATTGTGATCCAATTGATCAATCAATGAAAATTAATATTAGTGGTGGGCAACATCAAACATATTGTTTAAGTCCTTCACAATACAACACGGATAGGAAAGACGGTTTCTGATATAAAACAGTGTTTTAATATATATGAAACCAGTTTTAGGAAAGTAACAGTACATCGTAAGGCCCAAACATACCCGCGTCCACCTAGGATTATTTGTATTGCCATAGGCCAAGTTAATTCTGTTATAAGGGATTCCTGAAGGTGTATTCCAAGCAGGCAGCAGCTTGTCTGCAATATCTCTAGCCTTTTCTAGGAAGACTTCATCGCCAGAGAGATCGTAAGCACTAAGAAGCCCACCCAAAACCCTGAATATTGAATATAACCAAAACAATTGACAGATGAGTGAAAATGGACTACAAAGCATAAGCAACATATGCTCTAATTGACAAAGTTACAGCAACTATCAGGCAGTTGAGAAATAACTTCAATAAATATAAGATTGAACCTTCTAATTCAACCTTATGGTTGTCTCGAAAACACTAACTTCGATATTCTTGTTGAAATACAATGATTTTGCAATCCACCTGAAATACTTATTATATTAGATACTTTAAAAGTAACCAAACTACAATATGGAAATTGGAACTACTAAGAAGAAGAACCCACTCTCTAGCTCTTTTGAATTGGGTATCAAGGCCCATTATAAATAATGTGTCAAGAGAATCTACTAAAGTTGCCCCTAGACCGCCAAAACTATCAACACCGTTCATTGATTGTGGCTGTGAAAGGAATAGAAAGCTAATTAGTTACAAAATTCAGATTTTATCAAGGAGAGAATTTAAGAGTCAAAATGTGGAAAAATATAGCAAATCATTTACAACGGGAAAGACCATTTCCTACAACAGATTATTGGTTAAAAGAAAATGCTAGATTTAAAAATAAACAACATATACTCCATGCTGCACCACTCATCTAAATAAGAATCATGACTTAACTCTGCTAATTTAGTGTTCATTCATACTCCATTAAGTAATATCTATTTACATAGCAATATTAGTCATATGACTCATACGCTGTGAAGCACGGACACCGAAAACATGATAACGACTAACACATCGACAGCAGCAATGATTTGAAAAAAATGAATAAATTAAACGTAATCACAAGTGTCAGTTCGGTTTTAGACACGGTCACTAACACGTCTTCGTTCAGAGGTGTTGGTGCTACATAGCTGAGTCATAACTGATTTAACAAATACCATTAACATTTCCTAACTTGTATGATATATATAATGGAATGATCTTAAATGCCATAATCACTAGATAAAGAAAATATAAAGTAGTGGAAAACCTTAAGTTCATCCTTGCCCCATGCATACTTTTCATAAGATGACCATGCATGAAGCATAGCTTCTTTAACTTTCTCTCTTCGTTGTAAACTAATAGGATCATCATCATCCTCAACCGAAACATCCTTGTTGGATTTATTCATACTTTCATCATTTTGTATAGTTTCACCATTTTGAACACTTTCTCCTCCTGATTCATTCATATTACCATGTATATCTTCCAGCTGCCATTTCAAATACAACTCAAATCAAACCACCAAAAAAATGTCAAATTTAATAAACTTTCGCAATTTTGAGATCTTACTGTTTTTTGCAAGCGTGTAACCTCTTGTTTTAATCTCAAAACATCCTCCTGAAGCAAAAACACATGATCAGCTTAAAAATGATAATTTTGCAATTTTATTGAAAATGAATTTGAGGAATAGCGATACCTGGTGTTCTCTGTTGAGTAATTGACGATCATAAACAAACCATACAAGAGAGACGAAAAGGAGAATGATGAGTGCAAATCGTTTAGGTCTTTTTAGGTAATAACGAGGTTGAACATAACGCAATGTGGATGAGGAATAGGTTTTCCTCGCCATTACAATGGTGATGAATTAGAATGTGGAATTGAAAATTCTGTTAGAGAAGTGTATAATCATAGATCGATGCAAAAGGGAAAAGAAGTGTAAAATTGTTGAACATAAGGAATGTGGAGAATAAAAGTAGGAGGAGGATGAGTTTCGTGTGCTTCTGCGTTCCACGAATTTGGAACGAACGAACGAACGAGAGAAGGTGAAGATTGTGGCTATTACATCTGTTGTGTGGTGAAACGCATGAGAGGTATAGAAAATCCCCTTCGTTTTTTTTTTCTTTTTTTTGTTAATAATGTTTAAAAAAGAGAGAGAAAATTATATTTAAAACTTTTTATTTTTATTATGAAAAAGAAATTATATAAATGAAATGAAATATTGTATTTGAGATTAAAAATGATATACTATAAAATAATTTTATATTATTATTTAATAAAAATTTATTCACATATTAAATTTAAAAATATCAATGTAATTGGGCATATGCTTTTTTGAATTAAAATAGAAAGTCTTGGGGAAGATTGTTAGAGAAAATAATGTGAGTAGAAAGTATATTGTTTTTGTTATTGTTTAGAAATGAAAGTGATAGAAAAAATATATATTTATTGAATAACTAGAGGATTCTTATATGAAAAGATATAAAAGTATTATTATTAATTTAATATTGGTATTTTTTTAAAGCAAAAGAGTCAGCGACCTGTCGATTCGGATTGGTTTTGGATTGAAAATCGTTCATCTGAAGAAAAAAATCGCAAGTGGAAGAACATAAACCATTTCCATCCGTTTTAGTTTACGGTTAAGTTAAATTACGGTTGGTCAGATTTCGATTTAACTGGGTGGTTTCAAATGGGTAGAAATAATATACATTTTGAGCTCTTAAGAGATGAAAAATTCAGAAGAAACTAAACTCTGAAACCCATATGTGCAACATATGAGGAAAAAAATAGATTAAGTGCAACTCAACTACAATAGAATAATATTTTTTTACTGAAACAAAGGAAAGTGCTTATGAAAGAACATGATGAAAGAAGATGAGATGTTTAAGGGAGAGATGAAAGGCAGAAGTCAAAGATGAGAGAGAATGAGACAATAAGTATGAGAAAAAAAATGTAGAAGCAAAGCAAGTGTGAGAACATAGAAAGAACGTTAGAGTATTCACATCCATTACACTCATTTGAGTTCTTTAAATGAACCTTATTTAATTTTTTATATTATTATTTTCATACTCCAAATTTTGATCCTAGATGTCATCACCATTCTAGGAGCATATCACATTGCATTGCTAACCCTAATATGTTCAAATTACCTTTTGTCTTGTTTCATCTGAATTAGGGTTTTGCATCAATAGAATCAAGAGGATCTTTATTTGATCATTCAATATTTTGGATTGATCGTCAATATACCAAGTGTGCATACACTCAAGATGCCTTTCTTCATCAAAAATCAAGTGCAATTTGGTCTTGTTACAAGTTCTTTGAAGCTCAATTTCATCTGACCCCAAATTAGGGTTTTATTAGGAAAAAGTCAATTGTGCCTTTGACTTTTGATCAAAGCATGATCTCAAGCTTTGGGACATGATTCAAGACACTCAAATAGATCCTTGGAGTCCATCCATGATGTTTGAAAGATTCAAGAATGCAAAATCATTGAAGATCACACAGTTGAATTCTTCTGATACACAAGTTTTATCTGACAAAGTCAACTCTTTGACTTTTGAGATTTTTGGTCAAAATTGAAGTTCTCAAGAAAAATTCCATCAAATCATGTTTGATCATTGAGTTTGAGCATGAAAAATCAAGAATTGAGAGGTTTCTTGCAAAAGTGGCAAAGTGGAAGAATTGAAAATTTTCTAAGTATGGGAAGAAAAACCCAAATTTGTGTCAACTTTTGAAAGTCATAATTTTCAATCTACACATCCAATTTTTGTGTTTCAAAAATAAAATTGAATCCCTCACAACATAGTACAATTTTGTCAATTTGATTCCATCTCCAAAAAGTTCCTAAATTTTGAGTTATGGAGCCATCAAGTTTGTGAAAAAGTTTTGACACTTAGAATTTTTTCAAGGCAGATTTTGTTCATCAAAAGTACCAAACTTTGGAGCTAGTTTTCACCATGATCCATTGAGAATCAATAAAAACGTAAAACATGAACGTTGTAAAGCATTTTTGGGGCTTTTCAAAAAGTACAAGAACTCCTCCATAGCATTTTTGAACTACGAATTTCGAAGAGGAGAAGTTAGCTTTCCACACTTGAAATTTTGGCCATTTTCACCAAGATGCAAGTTGCAAATTCAAGTGGATTTTACACAAGCCTACTTAACTTGAAAATCACATTTAAATCAGAAGATTACACTTGCTTTTGGTGCATTAATCAATTGGTTATGACTTTGTTCACTAGTTCTTTCCATTTTTGGTACAAAGTTACCACTTCCATTCTTATAAAGTCACTTTAATCACAATGTCAATCCTCCTTGAGCTTCTAACTTGTCTCTTCTGAGCCAAACCTTTTCTTTCTGCAGAAGAAAGGTGTTTGAACTTTCCAACAAATCCCCCGTGCTTGTACTTGGCATTGAAACTTCCAAAATCATGAAAATACACCTTGAAATTCAACCAAACCAAGTAACCAAACCACTTGCAATTCTGCAGAACCAATTCCTCCACTCTTTCCCTATAAATAAAGGCTCTTTCTAAGCCTAAAACACACAACAAAACCTCAGCATTCCCCTCTCCAAAAGCTCTCACACCAGAAACTTGTTCTTAACTCCCTTTTGTGCCAATAAATTCCACTTTGCACAAACTTGCAATCTGCCTTCCATAAACCACAAACCATTTAAACAACCATCCAAACACATCAGAAATCACCCCTTGAATGTGTCCAAACCTTCATATTCACCCCTAACCATCAAAACCAAAAATTCAACTGTCAAAACCTCATATGTTTGACTTTTTTGCATTTTACAAGCCATGTCTTGATCTGGCCATTTCCAAATCTTCCAACACTTCAATAACACTCTAATAAACATCCCTAAGTTGTTCCAAGCATGACTTCCCAACTGTAACTCTATTTGACCAAACTTCCATTTTGGTCACTTTTGACCATTTTGCAAGAAGGAGGTTGTTTCTGTTCTAGAGGTTTTCTATTGATTCCAAGCATCCAAAAAGCTTTATATAGGTGTATTTGAGGTGTCTAAAGTAGAACATTACTTCTGTAGTAGCTATCTTGGAAGTTGGCAAGTGAGCTTCAAGAGGTAAGTTTAAAAAGAACTTGAGCTTTGAAGAATATGATTTTTTATGTGCATTGAGTTTGGACATGCTTGATATATCATATATGTTGTGTTTGTACCATTTCTAGTGTTATGATTGAGTGTACATGACTGTTATGTTGAAATTGCAAAATGTAGCATTTTTAGGTCTTGCCTTTGTGTTTTAAAATAGAGACATATTTAGAAAAAAACCAAGACCACCATTGTTTTCCTCTTGAAATTCTAGGCAAGTTTCATTTTTATTTCATCCATTTTCACGGAGAAATGACAAAGTTATGATGGGTTTTGCAAATAGGTTGAAAACTGGTTTTCTTGGGCAAGTCATGCCTTAGGTGCCCTTTGTATGGCCAGGCCTAGGTCACCTTAGGCATATTATTTGATTTGTGGGGGTGATACAATGGATGTATCACCACCCCAGTGATTGTAACATGCACGCCTTATACATTTCACCTTCTGAATTAGGGTTCGAATCCCCCCTCGCCCTAGTTCTTTTATTTTTTTTGGATTTTCAATTGGATATCAGATATTATATCATGCCTTCACATTATAATCATAACGTGTGTTTAGTAAAGATGGTTATTATTTTAAGCTATGAGCGTAATGACATGGGTTCAACACCCATGGGGGACCTTCCCCATTATTTTTATGACTTCATTTTCTTATTTTGCTTTGTAAATTCAAATGTCCATAACTTTCTCATTTTTAATCATTTTGAACCCATTCTTTTTTAAATTTGTTCATGACATTGCGTATTTTCTGTCTGAGAAAAGAAAACACCAAAAATAATCATTTTTAATGCATTTGTGTATGCTTAAAGTATGTGATGTTTTTAGGGTTTCCTTAAGCTTATCTTGATTCTTTTGATTGTTTCCTTAGTTTATTTTATGCATGTTACCTTGTATGATTCCTATACTTATTGTATAAACTTTGTATGACTTTGTGAATTTGTACATTGTACCTTTGCTTGAGTTTGATGCATTTCGGATGTATGTTTACATGTTAAAAGTGTATGTTGAACTTTGTCCATGCCATGAGCTTTTGCTTGATTGTCTTGCCTTACCATGTGATGCTCTTTCCATGTTCACATGACTTTAATGTGCATGTGTGCCTTTGTATTGATTATACTATGTTTATGTGTTCTTAAACACTTAAATTTTATCTTGAAAATTCCTTTGAATACATGTCGTTTGTATAAACCTTTGTGATGTTCCTACTTTGTTTAAGACCCCATGATTGAACTCATAACATGTGCGTTTGGTTGTTACCTACTTATCTTAACATGTTCAACTTGTATCCATGCTTAAATGTTCAAGTAATGTCTTAACTTGTTCACATAATGTTTGAACTTTAACTTGTCGTCTTTAAGTTGCTCACATGTCATCCATTGTATGTTTGCATCTTCATCCACATGTTATTGTCATAAACATGTTCCTTTTGCTCAAGTATGCTTGGTTGTTACCTTTACTTGTTTTAAATTGTATTTATGATTAAGTGATGTGTAAACTTATACATGTTTACTTTTAACTTTGAATGATATCATGTTAAGTAATGCTTTGACTTATATATGCCTTATTTCATCTTTGAACCTTGTCCTCATCCGGGCTTTAGTGTTGTTATAACTTTCACATTGTTAACTTTGAACTTTTGTTTTCATCCATGTGTTAAGTGATGTTTTAACTTATACATGTTATACTTGAACTTTGAATCCTACCATGCTTAAGTATTGTGATGACTTATTCATGTTTA